CCAGCCGTTCCCACCAACTCGGAAAAACTCCCCACAAATATTTCTACTCCACACTTGTATTTTTTCCCCTCCTACCTGCCTGCAGGCAGAGCTCTGAGAGTCAGGTTTCTTTGCCAGAATCCAATTAGGAGCAAAGGTGCCTTTCAAAGGGATTTGTGATGGTTGCGTTGCCAGAAGTGATGTTGAGGAGCCATCCTCACGCGTGTGCCGGCGCTGGGGTTTCTGAAGGGCTCCACTTCCATTCTCAGGCTCAGCAATCTCATTTTCATCTCCAAAAAACAACGTGTGCAGCGCCCAAACYGCCTCTGCTTCCTTCTGGAAATGAAATATTAAACTTTGAAAGATTTTTTCAGGCCTCTCACATTCTCCTTCAGCAGCAGCCGACGCTCCCCTGGGATTTTATAGTCAGAAAACATTTGGGAACKGGAAGGGTCTCTCCAATTATCCATCTTTTGCTCATGCACAAATGTTGCCTTTTTTGAAGTCRTTGCTGTAAGAAGTCAATGTTTGAGCAGCTCTTGCAGGGCTCAGGAGCAGCAGAGATGTTTGCAGGGGAATGTTCTGAGAATGGGRCTCATTCATATGTGAAATGGGAATAATGGAACCTCCATCTTTTAACCTTAGGAAAATATTTTTAGTGGTAATCATCTGATTTTACCTTCCAGGGCTTTGATGGGCTGGGTTTGTCCTTGGGGAACCTTTCTGCCATGTGTTACCTTATGGCAGAAATTGGGGATTCTGCTTTGAACTGTTCACAGCCTTGATGGCTGTGGATTCTCTGGAGCAGCTGCTGAGTTACAGAGAAGACTTTTCARTTTTTCACTGGATTTACTGTGCTGAATACTGAAAATCCATGGATATTTTGTCATCCAGAGCGGCTGTGGCTGCCCCTGGATTCCTGGCAGTGTCCAAGGCCAGGCTGGACATTGGGGCTGGGAGCAGCCTGGGACACTGGGAGGTGTCCCTGCCCATGGCAGAGGGTGGCACTGGATGAGCTTTAAGGCCCTTCCAACCCAAAAATTTCCACAATTCTCTATTTTTAGCATAACTTTTATTTTTGACTGAAATCGAGAGCCAGTGATTGTGTCAAAACCTGATGGGAGGAAAGAAAGAGCCTGCTACTTTTATCATCTTTATTAGCTAAAAACTAATTTGTATTAGTAACTTTGAAATGCTTTGTAGGAGTGTTTAAAATGCTGGGAGGAGTATTATTTGCTGAGTAGAAAAAAAAAATTAGTTTGCAAAACCAGCCAGTAGCCAGAATTTTCCCCAAATGGATGGAGAGTCAGGGCTGCTGTGGCAAGAACTGAAATTGTGATGGAGAAGGCAATAAATTCAAGACTATCCAGGAATTTTCTTGCATCTTTGGAAAACCAAGGAATGGATTTTGGTGAGCCCTTTGCAGCCTGACAGTTCACAATCCAGGGGTGTGGGTTAAGGTGATCTGATCAAGCTCTCGTGGTTTTAATTAGGTATCAAAGGCTGTGAGTGATTGCAGAGGGAGAGGAGAATAATTGTGAATAATTGTAAACTGAATTTGTGTGCAGGGCAGTGAGGAGAAGCCTTGTCAGTGACACCAGGGGTTATTGATGGGGGTAATCCGTGGGAAAATGAGAATGTGGGAGAACCTCAGCAGCTGCTGTGATACCAGATTTATCTCAGATTTATCTCAAATTTCACTTCAATTGCTGCAAAACCAGGAGTGGCTTTCTCTGGTGGAAACCTCCTGTGTAGCTGCTGCTCCACAGAACTTGGTACTTGAAGGAAAAGTAATGTTTTCCCACAGGTCCAGACTATTTAAAGTAAAAAAATACTTTTCTTGGGCTCTCTATAAACGCAGAGTGTAACTGCTTCGCTGTGTCAATCAATACAGAGGTCTGTGACATTTTCCTTCCAAAATGAATAATTAATACTGTAATCATTGCCTTAAATAGTTATTAGCAGTCATTGATCAGTCATTGCTCCTCACCCCCAGCGAGCCCCATTGGTCTGTGTGAGAACAGATGAAAATCTGCAATTAATCTCTCCCTGCTTCAAAGCTGCATCTCCGCATTTGAGGGTGAAGGATCTCTGCCTTCCTGAGTTTCTGAGGAGAATTTTGGCAATTTTAACTCCTCAAAGCAGCAGAGACCTCTGGTGATCCCCCTTCACTTGCCATTAGTCACACTGTTTGTCTCGTAAGCATCGAGGCTTCTGAACTTCCAGTCTTCACTCAGATGAATAAATTATGGGTGTCTGGCTTGATTTATTTATTTTTAATATTTAAATGCCCACTGTGGAGTGGATCCTTTCATAAATTAAGGCGAATTTCCACCCTTGGGTTGCCTGCAAGGGGATGGTGGTAATTTGCAGTGATCAGCTGAGAAAGTCTCAAAAAATTCTAATTATTTACAGGTTGCAATTGAGTGCAAGGGAAAGATGAGTTTTATCTGGAGATGTTTTAAGGTTCATTTTTTTTAAAGAATTTTAGAGCGATGAGGATGGAGGTGAAATGGGAAAAACATCCCCAGGGTGGGAACATTTCCGACCAAGTGCTGCTCTGTAGAGATGGTGCCCTTCATGTGCTGGATGGTGTTTGTGGAGAAAAGTTCCAGCAATTCTCCCAGAGTTGGAGAACTACTGTGATTTCCTTCTTCATGGTGATCTGCAGAGTTCACTAATTACAGCAGCTTACCCCAGAGAGGCAGGGAGTRAATCTCCTGAGGGCCAAATCAAGAGGCAGAAGAAATGTCACAACTCCAAAGTGATGATGGAGATAGCAGCAATTTGTGACTGTTTCAGTTGTCTGGGTGCCAGATGAGGATTAAAATTCTAACTTCTGAGAATGATTTTAAATTCAATATTTATCAAAGTTTTTTTTTGCTTTTCAGACACAACTTTCCCGGAAAAGAAGAACAAGCTGTCGCACCAATTCTAAATTTCCTCTCAATTTTTATTTTCCAGACTGAAGGCAGCCTGAGGTTTCCAAGGAGCCCCRTTCCGTGCTGGGTGTGACTGGAGGGCTCTGCTCTGTCCCAGTGCTGAAGATGAGGCTGCTCTGGGAGCTGCTGGTGCTGCAGTCGGTCATGGTGTGCCTGGCAGGTAAGGGCTGCTTGAAATTCGGGAGATTTGAATTGAAATTGAAATAAATTGAACTTGAACTTGAAATTGAAATTAATTGAAATAGAACTTGTATTTGAAATTGAAATTGAAAAATTGAAATTTAAATTAATTGAAATTGAACTTGAACTTGAATTTGAAAATTGAAATTGAAAAATTGAAATTGAAATTGAACTTGAATTTGGAAATTGAAATTGAAAAATTGAAATTGAAATTAATTGAAACTGAACTTGAATTTGAATTTGAAAATTGAAATTTCAATTTCAATTTTTCAATCAGCAACAGCCCTGTGTTCCCCACCAGTGCTAGAGCCTGCCTTGCTCTGTGTGCCAGGGATGAAATGGCCAAAGGAGCCCCTGTCCCCTGTCATTGATGGATCAGGGCGATGCCCCTTTTCCTGCTGGTCTCCGTCTCCAAAGGTCACAGCTTTCCAAAGCTCTGCTCTGCCCTTTCCCACTGCACAGTTGCTGTTGATGAAGTTGCTTTCCCCCACCCCGTGTCGAGCGTTTCCCTGCTCAATTAAACCCGCGTGGAGTGGAGCTGTAAATCCCATYAAACTGTGGTGCTGAGCCCTCGCTYCATTTACCCAATAATTRCAATAACATCTTTCAGCAGCACAACCATCTCCTGCCAGTGCTCTGCTTAAACCTTTCCAGTCCTGAAAAGTGTGGTGTTCAGAGAGTTCCCAGAGAAATTCCTGGTGATTTCTGAATTAATTCCCCCTCAYACTGCCGTTATTATTCCCTAACACGTGTTTTGTTCTGAGTGAGGGTGTCAGGGTTTAATTAATGTTTATAGTCTGGATCATTGTGATTTACCTGCTGCTCCTGATGCCTGAAACAGGGCTCACCTGAAACAGGAGGCAGGCAAAGTGAAGAGAATAAAGCAGAAAAATTTAATCCAATTTAATGGACCCCGAGTCACGAGATCTTCACCTTTTATAAGTTCTGTCTCACGAACATTTTGGGTCTGAATTCTCCAATTCCACCTTCAGGTGATGATGTCAATCCCCCCAAGTTTGTCCCCCCAAATTCTCTGTTATTTCCATATTTTGGGTCCCTGAGCAGTGAGGTGTCCTTGAGTTTCAGCCCAAAGAAGAATTGTTTTGTCTAAAGATGGGAGAGCAGCAGCTTTAGTGCTGTGCACTGGAGAAGTGTGAGAATACAGACACATGAAAATAGAAAAGATAAAAATCCTAAGACATCACTCCCCACTCAGACCCTGTTACTACTTTATTTATTAATTTGGATTTCTCCCCTTGTATTTGTGCTCACTGTCAGGTTACTTTCCCAGCGTTTGAGATAATAACAAAGTCCTTAGAGCAGCGTTTACTTTTTTTCTGCTTAGCTCTACTGAACAGAAAGCRACTTTTATTCCGGTACTTAGGGGTACCTATTTTTGAAATTTGGTTCCGAGTCTCCCTTAAATGTGCTTTGACAGTTTCTGAGCTGGCAGAAAATTGGATGCAGAGAGATTCTGCAATGCAGAGCCCCAACGTGTTTCGGGAATTGCAACCCTGGGGAAGTTGGGCTGAGGGAGCGCGTCGAGCACGAGCCTTTATTCCGAGCAAATAAATTAAAAAAGAGTGGGAAAACAACAGCATGGAAAATATTTTTATACTTGTAATTTCTATACTTGAAATATCAGTTGCAAACTGCTTAAGGTWAGCAAAAGAAAGTTTTAGGAGGATGTGTTAGTCCTTATCAAAGGATGTGTTTGGTAAAAATGCTTCTCTTCAGCACTGGCTTTCCCCACGTTATTCTGCAACAGTATTTTCCTCCTCTTGGCAGTGAACTGAATTTCTTCAGGCCTCAGATTCTCTGTCCCACTGAGGGGGATTTGAGAGATGTATGGGGAGAGCTTTTTGGTCTTGATAGTTGCTGAGTGTGTCAGCTCAGGGTTTCTTACCAGTCAGGAGTCTCCAGGTCTGGGAAGCTGCAAATTGATTGTTTGGTGCCAAACAGCTCTGGTTTGTYCAGGCTCTCAGAGTCCTGAAACAGCAGCTGTGGTGCTGGAAAAGTTGAGGTTTTGGAGAGTGGGATGAGAGGTGGGATAGGGTGTGAAAAGCAGCGCAAAGCTCCTCAAGTCGGGACCTTTTTAAAAAAAATACGATTGTTTGGGCTGCCTCACATATCCTAAAAAAATATTTGTGTCCAGCCAGGGAAGAGTGGGACCAAAAGGCATAGCGTGGGGTGAGCAAAACGTTGGGGGAGCTGTGACCCCCCGAGCCTGGAACGCGCTGGACGAGTCTGAAAGGGAATTTTCTGTGTTTCTGTGCCTTCTGTGCCATCCTTTGCCTCATTAACCTCCTGGAGCAGGGAGTTGCTCTGCCTCAGTCTCATTTGCATATTAATGAGCTGCAGAGGCACGGACAGGTTAATGTTGGGGTGTGCATGTGAATATTTTAGAGTGGAATCCAACCATTCCCCTTCTGGTGGTGCTGTCCAAGCCCAGCTCTGCACCACCCATCCCCTCCCCATCCCAGCAAAGGGGGGAATCAAAAACCAGGTTGAGAGAGGAACAATTTGATCATGGAAATTAAGGAAAAATAATCACAGGAAATAAGGATAAAAAGTAAAAAACCAAGTGATGCAAAATGGAATTGTTCATCACTCTCTGACCTATGGCAGACCCCATCCCTGAATCCTGATCTGCCCCTTCCAGCTGCAAGCATCACACAAATACA